GGCTAAAATATAATTATCTTAAGTATTTATTAAAGATAAATATGAATCCATATAATTTACGAATCAAATCTATGGGAGGATATGCGCTCACGTGTTGGCCAGCGGACGTTCTTACCTCCCTAAACAGGGAGGAGGTGATATGTGGAAAGGAAGGAAAAAAGAAGAGAGAAAAAAAGGAAAAGGAAATAAGAAAGAAGAATGAAATATTAGAAGTTAAGGAGATCTTTGATAATGGAAAGAAAGAGTGAGATATTAAAGTTAAGGTGAGTTATATTATACTTTGAGTTACCATGATATATGTTATATATGTTTTGACTTACCATAATTTATTTTATACAAGTTATGTTTTATAAGTTATATTAATATTTCAACTACGTGGATTAATTTTTGAACCCTGTTTGCTTAAAATGAAACTCATGAATATGTTTATTTATATTTTAAAGAATATTTGACAATGACCTTATAAATAATTATGTTTTGAAAGTACCACATGGGAGTCTCACGCCTTGGGGGACTTAAATAACTATTGGCCTCTGTTTAGTCACTTTGTGGTCCTTTATTGTCATGGATCTATTGACCTCTGCTCTATGCGAAGCAAAGTGCTGTACAGAAATAAGTGCTACACTATTGTAGGAGCCACCCTCTATAATCCGTACGAGCCACCTCTTGAATCCATATCTCTGTTCTGACTATCATTCATGTGACCTCTGTTCTGTTCTGTTCTGTTCGGTACTGTGGTTATGGTTATTTATTTACATAATCTTAGTTTTGCTACTTAAATGATTATTTGTTCAGACTAAGTTATCTTAAATATTTTAGTTACATAACTATCCATGGTTATTAGCTGTTTACCAATTTTCAGGAAATAATGCAATTCAGAAATAGCTTTTGGAAAGTCTTAGACGCGGGGCTGCGGATTAGAGACACACAACACTTTATGATATTTTTCTATGTAAATATTGGCCTTTTGGTCAATAAATTTTATAATAAAAATAGCAGCTCCACTGATTATATTGGTACACTCATTTAAATATTACTTCCGCTCGCGTTTATTAATTTGTTCAAGAATTGGCCGGAGGTAACTTCAGTTACTGGCCATCACGATACTTAACCCTTGGGTATGGGGAACGGGTCGTGACATTGATCAGAGGATTCTAAAAATACTAATTTTATTAAAAATTGACATCTAATCAAAAGTTATATTATTTTAAAATTTAAAATATTAAATTACTCACTAAGTATATTTTGGTAAGGAAAATGCTAGAGGTCCCAAATTTTCTACCAAATAAATGACCAAATGTTTCACATGGGTGTGAGACCCACAAAATTGCGGACCCCACACCCATGTGAGACATTTGGTCATTTGTTTGGTAGAAAATTTGGTGTCCCTAGCATTACCCTTTTGGTAATAGTAATCTGTATTAGATTTTTTAAGCACAACTTTTTGTACTTGTACTTAATGCATTAAAATTTTGTTATGAAGGGGTTTTGACCAAATCCACCTAAATTCTTTACTATGTTTGGTTTTGGAATTTTTCAAAATAATTTTCAAATTTTTAATCCGTGTTTTTTAGTTTCTACCAAAAAATTTAATTTTTAGTCAATTTAATTTTAATTTTTATATCAATTTAAACTAAATACACTTAAAAAGTAAAAATTTTGTTAAAAAAAAAAACACTTTTAAAAATTCACTAAACACACACACACACTATATATACATTTTCCTATCTTTTGTATTTATTGAATTTTTTTAAGATTTATCCAAATGTATTTTTCTTTTTAAATACATTTAGATTAGGTATATCTAAAAAATATGGAGAAAAAAATCACTAAAGATAATAAACTATGAATATCAAAAAAACTCAAAAGTTGCTTTTAAAATTTTGAAGAAATAAATAAACAATAAACAAAAGCTTGGAGTATGGGAAATAAAATATAAAAAAAAGAAGGGAATAAAAGTATAAAAATGGGGCATTCCGAGAATTGAACTCGGGACCTCTCGCACCCTAAGCGAGAATCATACCACTAGACCAAATGCCCATTTTTCTGTTCATGCCTTTAGTAAGATATATTAATATATTTGGTGCCTATCGTTTACAAAACTTGACCATGTGTAGGAGTAATGTACATTTGGCTGTATCCATTAATTTCTTAATTGGAGTAGAATCAACATTTTATTTTTTTATTTTTTTATTTCCAATTTCACAAGATTGTTTCATCAAGGTGCTCAATCCTTAATCATCTTATCTAAATTATTCAAATCCCATCAGCAATGACCTATGAAAAGAAACATTTAAACTTGTTCTTTATATAATCAGACAAGATTAGCTCAGTGGCAGAAATTCTTATAATTTTGAATTTTTTTCGTTTTCATATAAGTCTTATTTTTTGTGTATTTGTTTGAGATGTTTGTCTCCCATTATTTAATGGATTAATAAAAAGACAAAATTTAAATCTTAGATTTACAAAACCTGTAAAGATAATACAATATGGTCATGTTTGATTCACAATATTAATAGTGAGGTATTAATAATCCTATTAAATTAGTGTGGTATTAACTATCTCACCCCTACCCCATTACTAATAATCCTACAAATTTGTTGGATTAATTATCCATTGGATTAATAGTCCTAAATCAAAATGTCAAAACAAACATAGGATGATTGGGCCCACGGATTAATAATCCTAATCCCATGCTTTAATCCTTCCAATCAAACATGCCCTATAAGTACTCGGACAAACCTCTTTGGTTTTGTTGAGACTAGAGAAAAATCATTCTCAAATCTTAAAGTGTATTTTAAGATAAAATGATCATACATTTTTTTATAAAAGTAAACGGAAAATACTAACAAGTCATTGTTTAATGTTGGGATTAGTATAAAAACTATTTTTAAAATGATGAAAAAGTTTTAAAAAATATTTTAAAATAAATAAAAAATGTGATAAATTTAATAAAAAGTCTATTGAGTTCTACGCTGAAATATTTATTAGCAAGACCCAAAGTAAAAGTTAAAATAATATACAACAATTTCATACATTGTTTATCAATATTCTCATGAAACTCGTTAAGAAAAGTCAGCATCAAAGAAAACTTTCAACAAAGAATTGATCAACGATGCCTCATTAGTGAGGTGGTTCAGGAAAGCACGCCCCAATTATGGACTGGACTGCAGCACCCTCCCTCCCTCCCTCCCTTCGTGGACTTGCTCAAAAAGGAAATGGTCAAATTCTTTAGTAAAACAATCCTAAAATTAATCTTTACCAATTAATTATGTACTACATAATATTTATGACAATCAATTCATTGCAATTATAATGAAAATTAAATACAACATATAGTTAGGTCTCGTTTGGGAATAGGTTAATTTAATAATTTTTTAGTTATTTGACTAAAATATGAGCTAAAAAAACTAAGTTGTTTGGGATGAATTTTTTGACTTTTTACAAAAAAAAAAAATGTGTAAAGAAATAATATAAAAAAAAAAGAAAGTTTGAAACTTGACATTTTTGCCCTTGCACGGAATTCGAAGTGTGGGAAATGGAGACAGGTGCAGACGTGCAGTAGTTGCCCGTTGGAACTTTTGACAAAGAAAAATGACTTGGACCCCCAGCTGGGGTCGCCCATGATTGGGCAAAAAAATTAGTTTTTTTTTTTTTTGAGTTCCCGGCCAATCCCAGGCCGACACGTGGCACTGGAGGGGTCGGTGGGGGTCGTCCGTACTGGGGGTCTGTAGCATTGTTGTTTGACAAATACTTTATTTTTTATTTATTTATTTATTTTTATATAGCAATGCACAACTACTATACACTTTTTAACTCATGTGAAAGCAATGTCAAAGTAGCACACGTGGCCACATACATGTAATTGCAAAATCAGATTCATGGTTTGTGTTGTGATGTATTGTTAATTAATTAATTTAATTTAAATTTTTTTTTTTTAATTTCAGGATTTTGACGCCAACACATATGCAACATGTAGGCCCTGTTTGGTTCAAAGTTGGAAAAAAAATGTAAGGGAAACAATCTAAAAATATTATTTGGTTTAGTGGTTTTTAAAAAAAAAAAAATCAAAATCATTTTCTATCTTTTACACATAAATCAATTACTTTTTTTTTCTCCGCTTTCCTTCTGAATCACTTTTGTCTCTCACACACATCCACTTAAGTACAGACTAATATACAATCTTTTTAAATTCTCATACTCGAAACTATTTCCAAAATATACAACCAAACAAACAAAAAAAATTTGTAAATGCTTTCCCCAATTTTTTTTTTCTTTTGTTATAAATTTATCTCCCAAAACCAAACCACACACACCTATACTGTTTCAAAAATTGTCAATTTTTTTAAATTGGTAAATTCCTAATTTTTTTCTTTTCAAAAAATTGACATACGTACACATGGTAATTTCTTTACTGTCCACAACATTTTCGAAAATAAATTTCGTGATGAATAACATTCACCCTTTTTTTGGTAATGTTTGTGGTGTTATAGGTGAAACTTAGAAAATAAAATTGAAATTATTGTCAATTTGCAATATTTGAAGTAGTTTATTTAAAGATTTTTCAAATACATCTCCCTTTTTTATTTTATTTCTGAAATACTGATTTTTCAGTTTTACTTGGTTGAACAAAATTTTGGGCCATGTTTTTTACGTGATGTAATTGGGCACAATTACAGACTTTACAGTTAATGCATGTAATATGCGTGACGAAATTCATTACGACAATCCGTGAAATAGGGATTTTGCATTAACCATACACATATGCAAAGTACGACAATTTTGAAAGTTTTTTTTAAAATTTCGTACGACATCTTAAAATATGTAAACAATTTTTTAGTACGTTATGCATAAAAAATTACAAAACTAGACATTACTGACGGTTTTCACAAAACACATACTACATAAAACATTTAAAAGCAGTCATGGTAAACAACATTGTCTGACTACTTACCATTGCGCTGAATTTGGTATAACTCTGCCCTTATCCGATGACGCACCTTCGCCATGTCAACGTCCTCGTCCGTAGGCACGACGGCTTCGTCTAGGGCAGCCAAATCTGCACGATCGGGAATATCGTCATACGTGTACTCCGCCGCATTTCTGACAGCAGCAATGGTCGCATCATCCTCGCAGTTTCTGCGTATGAAATTGTCTAATGCCATAGACGCAGCCACCAACGGCACCTGCACTCTATGAAAGTCAAACCGAGGCATGTTGTGCAAGAATCTCCACCGCGACTTCCAAGCGCCAAATGTTCGCTCAATCACACTCCGCCATGAAGAGTGGGCACAGTTGAACAACTCATCACGATTCCTCCGCTTGTGACGTTGAAAGTTTGATTAGTGATAGTGGCTACCCTTATATGGTGCAAGAAATCCCTTCTTATTACTGTATCCACTATCCACTAGATAATAGCGACCTGTGAATGTGTACATATTAATACACATTTGTTTCACGTGTGGGCAAACAAATTTAACAAGTTATGGCATTGAACAAATAAACTGTTCGTACGTACCATCCGCTGCAGTTGGAAAATTATATTGCGGATCCTCGGTGACAGTGTTTAAAATCCGACTGTCATGCATGCTACCCTCCCAACCACATGACACAAAGACGAAACACATATTGAAATCACACACTGCCAAAATATTGAGTGTGGCAACCCTTTCGGCTAAAGTACGGGGCTGTTTCCAACTCCTTTATGCACGCTTGCACATGTGACCCATCCAAGGCACCTAAACAATCCTACACAATTCGAACAAGTAGGCAACGTATTAGTACCATGAAGTTATGCATTATAGCCTCACATTTTTTAAGTTACATCTTTATAGAATTTGAGAAAATAAACTCGAATTGTTGCATTTTTTTCGCACCTTAAATGGCAAATACTGTGGTAGGGTCTGCAGGTGGGGATCCCTCATGTTTTGGAAATATGTGGGCTGCCGACAGTGCGCGACGGTAAACTTTTTCATTGCTTTCAACACATTATGAAAATGGCGTGATATTGTTTCACCGGAGTGTTGGAATCGTTCTTGAAGCTCGCGGTTAGGCAAGTTTTTTAGAACATGAATGAAGATTGCAACACTCTCCTCAACGTGCAAGCCGTGGTCCTGCTCAGGTACATGCAACCTGAAGTCGTTCACTAGTGTGGCACATAAACGGGTAAAAACGACTTTGGGCATGCACAGTTCATAGCGAAATCTGCCACTGTGTCCATTATACATTTCCAAAATCCATGCCCTCCCCGTCAAGATGGACGTGCGACATGGGACTTTAAGCACGTGCGCCTTGTAGTAGTCGGAGGCAATTTTGTACGCTTCAGCATAATTATTATTCATTTCAGTCTGCCACTCAATTGCGAGCATCGCGACATTATCACACATTTCCTGCATCCGTGCATCGGTGTCATCGTCGCTTTCCATACCTAAATCACATAACTTCAAATAAAATCAGAAGCATAACATGACAGACTACTACTCTGCCAAAATTAAACATGGAAAAATTAAACAGTTTGCTCAAGTGTAAAGGCTGTCAATAACAGAAATATTATGCATAAATAATCAATTGATTTCCTTTGTCATACTTGTGAGAGCTTTTATTGTGTAGTGTTGTTCTATTACCAATTGTGAAATCGTGAAGACATTTATTTGAAGTTTCCCAACAGACGTTAAGACATCATTTTTTTCCCCCACCTTAATTTTAAAACCAGGCAAACGAAAGGAATAGCATAACCATCTCCCTACCAATTCTCCTTACAACGCATAGTTAAAAACATCATGTCATTAGCAAATACAAAACCAACATAAGCGAAGAGAAGTCCAACACAAAGCATTTCGTAAAGGATTAGGTCTTTAGCAAATATAAACGAAGTCCAACACATAAGCATAGTTAGAAACGAAGTCCAACGCATAAGCGAAAAGAAGTCCAACGCATAACGCATAAGAAGTCCAACGCATAAGCATAGTTAGAAACGAAGTCCTTGATTGCGCAATATGCTTGCAAGAGTTGGAATTGTTGTCGTCCTCTCTTTGTCTTGTTGCTTCACCTGGAGCCAGCCTATAATGCCTTCATCGGAAGGAATACTCATAACCATCTCCCTATTATTGGGCACCTCCATAAGGGAAATACAAAAATTGAGCAGTGGATTAGTTTGGTCAAGTCCCTGAATTTCATAAAGACGTTCAACTGCTTCGGCCATAGTGACACTTTGGCCACCGACAACATGGTTTACAGTGAGTTCCTTGCTTTGTGTCTTCACCGAATTCACCAAATCATCCATGCTTGTTGCCAATGCTTCTGTCCCGGTGATTCGCTTTTTTTGCACGGCTGTGACGGATGAGTGCCTCCTTTTGCTACCACTACCTGATGCGTTAATGGTTGCAAATTTCATCAAGTTTGTCGTTTCAGAGGCACCCAATTCGTTGTTGTCCGTAGAGAAGTCGGTACTGTCAGACTCCCCTTCCACCTCCAGCTGGTTTCGCATCTCGCCAGGCGTCCAAGCATTTTTACCCATTGCCGCAACCCCTTAATACACGATGCATCAATTCCTCATGATCCAACCGCTTTGTTCTGAACTTACAACACTCTTTGTCAACCTGTAATACAATACAATGGGAGTACACCATTAGCAAAATGAAAAACTTATGTACATGGAGTATGCACATCATTAATGAACGTTTTATGCATGCATAGTTGACGTGCTTGTATATGGAAACGGAAAAAAAAAGAAAAAGCACACAATATTTCCTTATTGTCATATGACATGTTTCATGTTTATTTGAATGTACCCTGGATCTTTACAAAGCAGCAACTGATTACCTCTGAAATAACATATGTTTTTTTTTTGGGTAAATAGTTCCCCAAGTATATGCACTCCCGGAGGGTCAGTAAGCTAAGGAAGCATTAAACAATAAATTCAGATTCTGCAAAATAATGTTATATAATACACGGTCCAAGAAAGTAAAACCAGTTAGTATTCAGCAATCCTATATTTTGCTCATAAACACCCAAACATAACCCTGTAAACATATAACCCTAAAAAAAACCACTGTTAAACAGATAGGACATGAGGCATGTATTACAATACCTGCTAACTACCCAACAAAAAAAGAAAAAGGATAAAAGAAAAAAGAAGAGTGCACACTTTTGTCACTGCTATTATCAGACAGAAATCATCCTCCAGTGTTCAGTAATAATATATTTCATCACTGAGATTGTAATGAATAGGCTTTTCCATTGTAGCGGAGAAACATTGTCTACTGGTCGGTTTAATGATTTGTCTCAACCAAAAAAAAAAAATTAAACTAGCAACATTCAGCAATCATTAAAGTAGTAAGCAAAAGCATAATGATGGCGAGAATCATTTTTCCAGACATAGTACTTCTTTTCCATGTCCACATGGCTATTAAACCACGATTTGTCTCTGGCTGCAATAACAAATGTTGGACGTGTATGTGACACCATCTGTGCATTCATTGCAAGCTCCATGAGATCAACTACAAGAAATTGCTTTAAACATATTCAAAGAGTATATGTCCACACTACATCATGTCAATAAAATAAAAGAGAAACAAAGTAGTTCATTATCGAAAAACATACTGATAACAATGCTTTTTGGTAAAACATAGCTCTAACCCTTATAAAGCATTGAAGGAGAATCAGAATGCATCAACTAAAAAATGAATACTACAAAACTGCAGAAGAGGAATTATGGGTTCGGGAGATGATCTGTTTCACAATCATGAAACAAAACACAACAAAAGGTAATATCAATCATGTCTTTGTCACGTGGTTTCAGTAGCTGGAACTCTGAGGGACCACCCAACCACCTCATTTACTTTCTGGTTAAGCCTTATGAGGTTAGGCACCCAAGACAGTACCCCTATTTTGGTATCTTGCTTGGTATCCCAATTATACAACAATGACAAATATTATGTAAATGTTTATGATATTTTAAGTACCAAATTGTTTTTAAACCAGCTACTTTTAAAATGATTCTGAATGATTTGTCTCAACCAAAAAAATAGTTTCCAAAAAAGATGCTGCCTTGCCTTGCCTTGTACCATGCATGAAAAATCAGATTTCTAACAAATTGACATGTAAATATATCTGTTGGGAGCTTCCACAAATTATTCAGTTTAGCACTCAACTTAAAAATACATCTATCAAGCTTGTTTGGTATATATACTTGATATGTATAATCAAATGTATTTGAATTCAACATGTGTCTCTATGAATACTTTACAAAGTCACTTCAATTACAGCAGATTCAATTTGAACGACATTGTGAACTTCAAAATTATGTAAACATGAGTTCAAGTTGTTACCTTCTCCATTGTAGCCCATCATTCATCCGACGCATTGATCAACCCAGTCTCTTGGTCGAACCCAATTCCAGTGGGCCCTTTGCGGCTATCCATTAGCTTCGACCATGCACGCCACTCCGCCTTTAGTTGATTGTACCTATTTTTAAGTTGTTTCATGCTATGCGTCAACCCAGTTGCTGCCTCATAAGTCTTAGCCAAAGACCGGTACCCATTCGAATTGATTGACATGTGTGGCCTATTACCTGCGTCTATTTCCTTAACAACAAGTTCCAAATAGATACGTGTGTTCTCCCAGTCCCAATTGGCTTTGTGATAAGGTTTTGGGCCCTTCCCTTTCCCAGAAGGGGTACGAGGGCCGAATTGAGTTGAAGCCATGTGACTATAGAACATTATAATTTGCATTACTTAACCATATGTTATTATGTTTGTCCAACACAAATGCAATAGTAAAATCACATGGATAAGTAATATATTACATAAGGAAAGCATAGTACGGTAACCAGCTAGACACGGATACATATATCACATATGGAAACCAATGTCACAACTTTAAGTACACGCAGACTCTGTTGAATGTCAATCAAATGTGCCTCAAAACGACAAGCATTGTCTCTGTCATTCTCAGGAGCCGATTGTCGGCCATATTCGTCACACTACCCAATCCAATTGACACATGGCTGAGGTTAAAAAATTATGAAATTATTAGTGACGGTTTGACAAGGTAATAATCCCAAACAAGGTGAAGGTGCTTGTACTCACCACTCCATGAGGGCATTGGTAGTACGCACGTCCTGGATTTTTGACAGACCAAGAAAGCTTGACCACACAATGCCCGT